CTGGATGCAAGAATTAAACAGTATGTACCAAGTAAAATCAATAACCATACTCTTGATCAAAATGTACTCATCCATCTACCTATGGTTCCTCAATTTGTGAACACCTTATTAAAAACAGAAAGTGTGCTGTTGAATACAGTGCTGAAAGGTTTACCGTTTTGTCTCATTCACACTCAATTTCTCATCTAAAAGTACTGGAGTGTATTTATATCAGGTGTTGCAAACCTTCTCTGTGCAAACAGCGTGGTTGTTTGCTTGGTCTTGCTATGATTAGTCTCTAGTGTCCTCCACATCACCCTTTTTTTTTGTCCTCTCATCAATTAATCATTGACAATTTTAAATTTATTATCTTTTACTTTGCACACTCCTGATTAAAAAAAATCCTAAAGAGCAGGGGTGAAACCAGTTTTTCCTCTTTTATTTTTCATTATGTCTAGTAATATTAAACTGAATGTTTTTAAAGCTATATATATATATATATATATATTATAGCCTGAAGATTGCTTTCAAGTGTGAAATACACTTGCCATTCAATATTTGGAGTGTGTCCACACTTTGGGTATTGAGCACTTTTAGTCTATAAATATAACATACCTTAAAACTATATTTTTATCATACTTTTACTTGGACTGATTTTTTCCCTAACCAATGTTTCATATTGGAGTATATTTTTTTTTTTTATGATTTAAGATGATGAAAGATGGGAATAAAAAAAAAGAAATTCCTGCAAATCTCTGCAGTCTATATATTTAATTTGCTCGCCTTGATGTCCAAAATATATTCCTGAAATCTTCTCAAGCGAATATTTTTGGTTTCCATTTTATAACCATGATAAAAGAAAATTTGGCTTATTAATAGCTAAAATTTCCCCTGGACATTGACATTGTTCCTCTGAAATTGGTACTGCCAGGTGTAAGAAGTTCAGGACAAACTTATTCTTACTCTAAAATGGAAGAGGATACCAAAATATTTTTTTTATAAAATATTTTTTAAAAAAAAGGTTTTACTGAGAATAATCTATTAAAGGTAAAATTTAGGAATTTTTTTTTTTTTTTTTTAATCAAGTAAGGCAATAAAGCCACTAAGCCACAAGGGGGTTACTGCATGTGAGAGAATAGGAGAAAAATTAAAATATTAATGAGAGAAAGCAAAGAACAGGAATTAAGAAGACACAAGATAACAGGTAACATCGCATTTAAATTTTTGAGGATATATAATTGAAATTCGTAGACATATCGACTTATTGGTGAAAAATTGTCTTTTTTTATGCAAGCGTGTTGTTTTAAGAATGGCAATGTATTTTATTCATTCTAAATATTTTTGTACTATTTAACAGATCACAACAGCTATTAGGGAGATGTGATTAAATTATATACTTTAATGTTTAAAATTAAATTATTTAGTATTATTATTCTTTAGGTAATAAGCATTGTTACATTGCACAAATAGCTATATACACATTTTTTACATATTTATGGTTACTTTTTAACTGTTAATATATGTTAGCATTCCATGGAAAAGGCCTACTATAAAAGGAATAATATGATGCAATATTTGAAATACGCTCTTTTGTTAGAAATAAAAGAACAAGGACTGTCGTAAAAGACGTTATGTTTTTTCTTCTAAGTTGTGGATATCTTAATTTTGATGAAAAAGATTTTAAAGCATACTTAAGAACTACACAAAGATTCTTTTGAAAATTCAGATAAAAAATCGATTCTGACTCTTCTGATTTTATTAATTAATAAATTTAAAATTATACATTAATTACTATTTTTTTTTAATTAATAAATATTTGTGCCCAGTCGTTGACATTAATAGCTATCTGCTGATGTGTTAAAATTTTGGAATAATGCAATAATAAAAATTTAAATTTCATCTCTCTGACAGATGTCACGATCTGTTAATTATTTTAATAAAAATACTGTATAGACTTTTAAATCTTTGTATTAATTTGTTGGGGTCAAGTGATATTGTTATTAAATAAAAACTGTACTTACTAATCATAAATGGAAAAGCAGTATTTTAAAAGGAATTTTGAATTTTTTGGTGTGCAGATAAACGTGGCAATTTGTGCAAAACATGGACATCCATACATAGCGTTATATGAAAATAAGAGCGATAACTATATATTTATTGGTAATCTTATATAAAACTAAAATACTTAAAATACAATAAAATATTAGAATGCTTAGAATATTTTTAATGTTTTTAAGATTAAGGATAGTTTATATATATATATATATATATATATATATATATATATATATTTTAAATAAAACAGACCACTTTAAGGTTCCATGTAATAAATTATTTCACCACAGCCCTTTTAAAAGGACTGCAGATCATCAGACTTTACTTCCAAACAAAAAATGAAAAATATATGGTGTTTACATTTTATTCGTCTGCAAATTTTATATCCAATATCTCTTCCTTAGATAAATTTCCCAAATATCAGGTTGTTGATAAATTTGCCAACACTTTGTAAAAACACCCACCTCGCTACTGAAAAATCCTTTTCTGCAATATTTTAAACTAAGAATAAGTAATATTTGTTTCAATTCAGATTAATTAAATTTTAAATCAGCTAATTTTCTCGTATAACATTTCAGAAAATATAATTTTTAAAAGATTTTTAATAAGGAGAATCTTATTATGTTGATAGATTTGTCAATATGGACGATTTTTACAATTTTACTGATAATAAAAAATATTCCAATCTATTTAAATCAGTTTGAAATACAGCAAAGTATTTTGGCTTTCTTTTCTGATTTCTTAGATTTGATAGGGCAATATATAATTTCCATCAGTGATCCCTCTAGGGTTCATGTCTGTGCACAAAAAACAAAGGTCATGCAAAAACTTTAGTTTCAAATAATGACAACAACAAAATAAAAATATTGCCCAACTCATATTTTGTAAATATGGAACTGAGATATTTTTTACCTTGCAAATATAATGTATTTTTGCATGATTAATTTTAATGCCAAATCACCTCCATATAAGACTGCAGGTTGACCATTCTAGGTGTTGCTAATATATTAGCCGATCCCTAATAAGGAAACATTCAACCTTCATTGACCGAATAGTCAGTACTACTTGAGTTAGGCTTTTCTTTACTCACTATACATAGGGCTGAGATCAAAAGGGAGTGTCTGTTCTCTTGATCTCTAATGGTAATATCACCCATTCCCTAATAAGGAAGCATTCGGCCTTCAGTGACCGAACAACCAGTGCCAATTGAGTTACGTTTTTCTTAACTCTCTGTACATAGGGCTGAGATCAAAGGGCAGTATCTGAAAGAGCAATAACAGCTACTGGACTATAGGTCTGAGATGAGGTATTATGATTTTTTACATTATTCAGACTGTTATCCTTATCTTCATTGTCATATTCACAATGTTTCTGTCGTTGGATCCACCGGCCTTCTCTTCAGGTGATTGTTATTTTAAACCGAAATATTTTTGTCCACCAGGGCAGATTATTCTACTTCCACGTGCCATGCCTCTTCCAGATGTCTCAGTTATTTCCCTTTAACTCAACTCTCCAAGTTTTTTTGGTTCACCACTGCTGCAGACTGGTATTGAACTCAAGGACAAATGGTCCAGTGGATAAAGATGTTGGTTAAATCCAGTGACGAGACCCAAAAAGTTGTCGTAAAGTTTTTGTTTTTTTGTTTTTTGTTTTTTTTACTCTCTGTGCAACTTTGATGATGGCTATAAAAAATTAAATACCTGAATACATTTGAAAATTTTGGGAATTCCTTTTTCCTCCTCTCACTCAAATTCCAGATCATCCACACATAGGGCATTCATTCCAAGTTCCAAATTGCTGAACGAAATAACGTTAAATAAAAATCAATACGGCAAATATTAAATCTTTTTCTCTCTAAATAACGGATGTCAGTGATTGTATCCAAGTTAAAACTTTTGTAAAATCCTCAATTCTTCACTTGCCACTCGCAAACCCAGTTTTTTCAGTTGTGTAACTGGCCATAAGAAAAAAAAAAATTAGGAGAAACGTTAGTTTCTATAATCAGCAGGGCTTACATCCATATCATGTTGAAATGCTGGTTCTTGGACAATCACTGAAGTTAAGCAACGTCAAGCCTGGATGGTACCTAGATGGTGACCATTTGGGAATACCAGGAACTGTATGCTTGGATGTGTGGGTGGTATAGATCACAGCCATATCACATTGAAACTCCAGTTCTTGGATGATCACTGAAGTTAAGCAACATTGAGCCTGGACAGTACCTAGATGGTGACCAGTTGGGAATACCAGGAACTGTATGCTTGGATGTGTGGGTGGTATAGATCACAGCCATATCACATTGAAATTCCAGTTCTTGGACAATCACTGAAGTTAAGCAACATCCAGCCTGGACAGTACCTAGATGGTGACCAGTTGGGAATACCAGGAACTGTATGCTTGGAAGTGTGGGTGGTATAGATCACAGCCATATCACATTAAAACGCCAGTTCTTGGACGATCACTGAAGTTAAGCAACATTGAGCCTGGACAGTACCTAGATGGTGACCAGTTGGGAATACCAGGAACTGTATGCTTGGATGTGTGGGTGGTATAGATCACAGCCATATCACATTGAAATTCCAGTTCTTGGACAATCACTGAAGTTAAGCAACATCCAGCCTGGACAGTACCTAGATGGTGATCAGTTGGGAATACCAGGAACTGTATGCTTGGATGTGTGGGTGGTATAGATCACAGCCATATCACATTGAAACGCCAGTTCTTGGACAATCACTGAAGTTAAGCAACATCAAGCCTGGACGGTACCTAGATGGTGACCATTTGGAAATACCAGGAACTGTATGCTTGGATGTGTGGGTGGTATAGATCACAGCCATATCACATTGAAACTCCAGTTCTTGGACGATCACTGAAGTTAAGCAACATTGAGCCTGGACAGTACCTAGATGGTGACCAGTTGGGAATACCAGGAACTGTATGCTTGGATGTGTGGGTGGTATAGATCACGGACATATCACACATGAAACTCCAGTTCTTGGACGATCACTGAAGTTAAGCAACATTGAGCCTGGACAGTACCTAGATGGTGACCAGTTGGGAATACCAGGAACTGTATGCTTGGATGTGTGGGTGGTATAGATCACAGCCATATCACATTGAAACGCCAGTTCTTGGACGATCACTGAAGTTAAGCAACATTGAGCCTGGACAGTACCTAGATGGTGACCAGTTGGGAATACCAGGAACTGTATGCTTGGATGTGTGGGTGGTATAGATCACAGCCATATCACATTGAAACTCCAGTTCTTGGACAATCACTGAAGTTAAGCAACATCTAGCCTGGTCAGTACCTTGGGAATACCAGGTTCTGTAAGGTTGGATGTATGTTTGGTATGGATTATAGACATAATATGTTGAAACACTAGTTCTCATATGATCACTGAAGTTAAGCAATGTTAAGCCTGGTCAGCACCGAGTTTGGCCACTTGGGAATATCTTGTGTTGTAACCTTGGATTGTTGAAGTGTAATGGATAATGGCTCTGAATTGGAAATTGGCTCTCAGATTTGCCATTACAGTCAGGTTTGTTATTCACTTATACACAAATAATTTGGGGAAGGTATAAATCCACCTCTTTTCCTCCCAGCCATGGGTTAATTAGTAGGACTTGTATCAGTAAATTATTATCTCCAAAAAAATTATTACCATCTAAAAATATTTTCCGGCTTTAAATAACTTTAAAAAGGGTTGATAAACCATAAGAAAACAAATCAATCAAAATATGATCAGTAAAACAAGATTCTCTGGAATGACTTGAAGTAATATTTTATTTGTGCGATAAATAATTATTGAATTTTACATCTGAAATTATAAAATAATAAATTCATAACTTATTTCTGGAGAGAACATTTTTAATTGCTCCCAAATTTCAGATATTTAGATTCGTTTGTTTTTTTCTAATTATGTTTGATAGTTTAAAATCAGGATTTCCCTACCTGGATGATATTGCTCACCACTGGGTGATGAGCAAGTGAACAGAAAATAGTGGGCGATATAGGATTTTGAATATTAAAAAGCTATTTCAACATATGCTACCCCAACAACAAGAAATATTCAAAGCAGATATTCAAAGAATTTAAAAAAAAAAAAACCCCAAAAAACCAAGAGGCTAAATGGGGATAACTGGGTCATGTCCCTCGATAACGTAAATATCCCCACGAAAAAAGAATATTTTTGTTATTTTATATAGTTTTGATAAGGGCCATTTACATTGAAATAGTTCTTCAGATGAAATAAAAAAAAAAATTTTCCGGATATAAATCAGATAATAGAAGGTCAACTGAAAGAAAAATATTCACCGAATTTTTATTAGTTTATATATTTTTTAATTTTATAATTATGAACAAAAATCGTTAATTTTTTTTTGTCAACACTTGCAACACTAACCTTGATCCTGAAACTGAATTATATATAAAGGGTGTTTCATTAAGATGGATCAAAGTCAGCAGTAAATAAATCAGTGTTATTGGTGAAAATGTATTTATTTCTCTATTGGATCGTGTTATTTAACTCATGACAATTATGTGTAAAAAATAATATTGCCCAAATGTCTGCCAAGGCTTCGGTGGCATACCTCCACTCAGTCAAAATTTTTAATGACGTCTCTGCATAGTTGCTCCTCGATCTCCCCAATATGCCTTATTATTTCATCCTTCAGCTATTGAATTGTTGTTGGCTTGTTGGCATAGACCTTACTTTTGAGATGACCCCAAAGAAAGAAATCTAAAGGCGCCAAGTCCCACAATCATGGTGGCCAATTGACTTCGCTGTTTTGAGAGATGATGCGATCTTGAAACTTCTTATTCAATAAAGCCATTGTTGCATTGGCTGTGTGTCATGTGGGGCCGTCATTTACCACGTTGTTTGATTGTTCATGTTTCCATGGTTGAAATTGCCAAAGACTTAAGTTGTTAAATCTGAAAGAAAAAGAAAAAAATCATTAGACGCTTAAACTTAATTCACATTTAAAATCAGTCCAAGTTTTTGGAACAAACTTTATATAGTTTTCAATGATCAAATTTGCTTTCATTTATTCTTTAATACATTAGTAGTAGCAGCAAAGTAAGCGTTATTTGTTACCTCCCTTTGGTATTTTTTTTTTTTTTTACTACATCATAAAATCAGTTTATGAACTAGTAACAAACTTTTACCAAACAATTTTAGTATGCTTTTGACTATTTACTATACAGGTGGGCAGTGAAAAATTTTTCGATTGGAAAGTGGGTGATTATGCAGAAATGGTTGGGAACCCTCTAAATGTTAGATACTACTATGAAGGTTGCATTTGTGCCTAATATAATGCCTCCTCTTTTATTAAATTGGCCTACAATATCAGAAGTGGATGTTGGTAGTATGGAGTCAGAGGTTGTACCTTCCCCACAATAACCCATATATTTTTTTTTAATTTGTTATAGGTAAAATGATGTCTGACACAAAAGTGCATATGAAGCAGGGGTGTATCATTAAATTCCTCCATATGTAAAAATTTTACTTATTGATGATTTTCTGAGACCAAACAGTGGATGTGAGCAGAGTTAATTGATGGGAAATGCATTTC